TATATATATATATAGAGAGAGAGAGAGAGAGAGAGGGGGGGGTCATTTTGTGTTGCTCTTATGTATAAGTTTTTAGGGTTGATCACTTTGTATTTGCCATTGGATAACCAATTTTAGAGATTATCCCTCAGGAAGACTAATCTTGCCTCTCTCACAGACATTAATTAATTACCTGCAGCTCTTCATCTAGGACTGGGGCCTTATGAGATTTCTTCATCCATGTTGGCATGTCAAATTATGTTGTCATGCTCAGTTTCTGTTTAGGCAATCATATGTTGAGATTTCATTGTTTGTATATACACTGTCATATATAGAAGACACTATATCACAGCCAGCATCCTAATCCTCTGGCTTTTATAATCTTTCTGCTCCCTTATCTTCAATGTTCCCTGAACCTTTGGTGTAGGGGTTGCATTATGGATGTATCAATTGGGGTTTGGGTACTGTCTCAGTTAGGGTTATTATTGCTGAGATGAAACACTGTGAACAAAGGATCTTGGGGAGGAAAGTCTTTATTCAGCTCATGCACATCACAGTTTATTATCAAAGAAGTCAGGACAGGAACCCTGAGGCAGTAGCTGTTAGAGAAGCAACTGTTACGATAACTCTTTCCACCAAAAGCCACTGAGCCCCACTGCTACATGTGTGCTTTATGCCAGCCACCCGCCGGAGTTAGGCCCAAATGAATACACAGAAACTTGTATTAGGTTCAAAGCTGCTTGGCCAATGACTAGGATTCTCATCTGCTAGCTCAGTCTTAATTATCATAAATCTATATATTTTATAAGACTTACCTTACCAGACGCCTTATTGGCATCCCTCCTTGCCAGTGGATCACGTTGCGCTGTTGGAGGAAGAGTGAAAAAGGGGGACATTTCCTGTTTCCTTTGCTTATATATGAGTCTCCTTGCTATGTCACTTCCTGCCTGGATCACCACTTCTCTACTACATTTCCCATAATCCTCTTTGACTCCTAGTCCCATCTAACTTGCTGTCTCATTGGCCAAACAGTATTTTATTTAACAATCAATAAGCTAAACATACATAGAAGTACTTCCCCCATCATCTCCTCTTTTCTGTCTAAAATAAAAGGATAACTTATCTTTTATAATAACTGAAGAAAACTATAACCATAACTATCTGTCTTTAATTTTATCAAAGACCACAGAAGGATAATATATAAACTCTAGAATTGATAGAAAGATCTGCTACCTGGACAGTCACCCAACGTTCCTCTGTAACATTGGGGCATCCATCTTTAGCCCATAGGCCACAGTGTGTCTGGCACACTTCTCCATTTCAACAGGAACCCTTTGTATTGTCTTGTTTTGTAAGTTTAGCAGTTACTTTCTTGTGGGTCCTGTATGTCCAGTTTATACAGCAACAAACAGTCCAGGCAAGAGCAGTTTCTTGCCCAAATGGCTAATCTTTCCATGTTGAAAGTAAACTCTATAATGAGTTTCTTCGATGCCCATCCTCCTTTCTGATGTAGTTGGTGTGCCAGGAGCAGTTGTGTCTTACTGCCAATAAAAAACCTAAACCGTTTAAATGCCATATTTCTGTAGGTCTTTGAGTGAGAGGGTCAGGGCTGCATTTCACTTTCGGTTTTCCCTTTTGGCTTGCCTATAGACTGCTGCCATGCTGGCTGGCTAGGTCGCTCTGTAAGTAAGGCTTTTCCCTATTAAATACCCTTATATTTCTACTTGGCTCCGTATTGGTAATTTCCCACTATAAGCAACAGAGGAGTATTGCCTACTGGTTTGCTCCCCATGTCTTACCCATCCTGATTGCTTAAAGAACTCAGGACCACCATCCCAGGGTTGGCACCACCCATAATAGACTAGACCCTCCCCATCAATCACTAATTAAGAAAATGCCCTACAGGTTTGCCTACAGCTATATATTTTGGAGGCATATTCTCAATCAAGGAATATTCCTCTCTGATGACTCTAGTTTGTATCAGGTTGACATAAAATTAGCCAGCACAGCTACCCCATGATCAGATGTTCTCTACAGTCTGAACAATTTTGGCTTTCTGTAATAGTCTGTATATGCTACAAAGGGAAGTTTCTTTGATGATAAGTAAAATCTATACTTACTTGTGTGTATGGAAATGAGTATGAGATATGGAGTTAGGAATTATATTGGTTTAGGAAAGAGGCATTAGTAGGTTCTCCTTTAGGCTTCACAGTCTTAGCAGTGTTAACTAGTTGGTTAGGTTTACAGTACTAGGCATGAATTTCCTCCTATTGCATGGGTATTAAGTCAAGTTAGACACCTATTGGTTATTAGCAAGGTATCATGCCACTATTTCACGTTTGGGGCTACCTTGCTATTCTGGCCATCGTGTAGTTAATAAATGTCACAGCTTGGTAAGACCAGTGATTGCTTTTTCTTTCTTGGGGACTTGCATAGAACTTCCCAACATTATAAGAGCTATTCCTCAGGTAGTAGGCACCTAAGTTAGTTCCAGCTCATTGTTTCCAACTGCTATAACTGAAACTTGTGGTGTTTTCAGAAGTTTGAGTTTACCTTCAAATTCCCGGAGGCAACAAAACACAACTGCAACAGCTTATGTCATTTTGGGGGTTTCTTGGACTCCACAGATCAACAGCTGGTTTTCCAAGCCCATAACTTGGCTTTTGTTGGCTAGAATATGGGAGAAGCATTGTCACTCCCCACTACCTTCATTTTATATATGTGTGTATATACAAATATAAATAGGTAAATATAAAATGATATTATTCCCTGTGTTTTTTTCAAACATTCTTAGTGTTAATTATTAGTGTTAATATTAATTATTAGTGTTAGTATTGATTATTAGTGTTAATTATTTCTCCTTCCTCTCCTTCTGGAACGACCTCCTTCCCCAAGTAAAGCTCTGCTCATCATCTCTCATTTCCACCTTCATAACACCTATGACTACTGTTATCCTCTCTATTCCTCATCCTCACCCCCCCATCCCTCTCTACTTTCATGGGGTCTGCGATTACTCCAGATTATGTACTCACATCTAGAGATTTGGAGACAGGATCCACAAATAACAAAGAATGTCTAGGTTAGTCTCTCATGGTTTGAGTAACCTTCCTCGGTGGAATATTATCTGACTCCATCCATTCGGGTACAAATTTCATGACTTCATTTTCTTTACAGCAGAATAATATTCCATTTTGTGCATGTAGCATGCCATTACATTCCCTGTAATAAACTCTAATTTTAAGATGATTTTCATAGACCATTTGAAACTTGAACTTGTAGAGACACAGTAGATTTCACTTCCATGTTAACTGTCCTTATCAAAGGTTCTAAATCATTCCCCATGAAAGTTATAGCAAATATACCAGCTACCAGTGATAGGTTTGGGATTCATTAATTGCAATGGGTTTTATCAGAAATAATTAAAAGGAGAAAAATTTGTTTAATTGGTGAAAATGACAGTGTTACCTTTTTTTATATTTCCTTGATTGATAGCAACTTTTCTCAACTCTGTATCAATTACAGCTATTTTATAAGCTCTATATTAATATTCTAAATCCTGTGTGTGAAAATACAGACTGCATCATATTTCACTGACACAATTGCATATGTGGAACAAGGAACAAATTCCTTGTTCATCACAATTATATTAGTTCACTTAGGGTTGTGATTACTACATAATACAGACTGATGTCTATAAACAGTTCAGTCAGAGATGAAGAAGGTCTCAGAAGTCTCTTGTGCCTCATAACTTAGCTTCCCAGGAGTTCTTTCTGAAGTGTACATTGTCTTTTCATTATTTTGTTTGAGACCTAATCTCCCCTGCTTATGATGACATCAGTCTTATTAAATTCAACCTGCCTGTATGACCTCATTTAACCTTATTTTTAAAAAATACTATTTTAAAATGCAGTCATTTTATGAGACTTTTCACTGTCAATTGATCAACATGAAATTTTGATTTATACAGTATCCCACATGATGGCATCAAAATTCCCACTCAAACGTTTACACTGTAGAAAGAAGGCTAGTTTGTTGTTATTGTTTGGTTTGTTTTTTGTTGTTTTTGTTTGTTTGTTTGTTTGTTTTTCTCATTGTACCAGCACAGAATTTTAGACAAAGAAAAATAGATATACTTTTTGTGATTGGTTAACCATAACACTATAAAGAAGGCAAAGAGACAAAGAAGAGAGTAAGTGGATGATAAGTGACCTTGTAGAATGCTTCTGCAGAGGCCTGGATGTAGGGACACCCTGAGCGACTCAGCATGTATTGGTGGAGACGGGGTGATCGTGTCATTCAGGAAGGATTTCTACTCTAGAAAGTGATTTACAAGCCTCTGATGAACAAGCTTGGTGGATATGGTACAATCCTTTTACTGGTTATTTGGGCGTCTTGTTTCTAAGAAAGGGTTTTATTATATTGTTGGTTATCAGCCCCACCCTAACTTCAGCCTCACCATAACAGTTGGTTCAGTTAAATTGACCCAAGCTTCCTAGCTGACCATCAGAAATCAACCTATAGCATTAAATTGAATAATTCATTTTTACTAAGGAACAAGACTCTGTATCTTGACTAGCTTTCTGTTAGTGTGTTCTTTGTCAATTCCATACACATATATAAGGTAATCTGATCATTCTCCCTCAACCCTTTCTTATTCCTATTCCATCCCTATGAACCTGACCTGCTTCCTACAGGTCATTTTCCAATGTCCTTGTCTTTTGGTTTGATTTTGTGATCCACTGGGTTTAAGCAGGGTCATCTCTGTGACCAAGGTTATTGAGCTATTCAATAGAACTTGGTGGATTCACTAGTGGGTACTCTTTTAAAATTTATGATAAACCTATCAAAAAACAGATGTGTAAGTTCCACTATTAAGAGTGACTTAGATAAATGATTTTAAATATTCTCCACATACTTAATTAGCATCACAAGATCTAATAAACCATAAATACAAGCTGTACCTTTCAAGCTCAGATAAACTAATATTTTACCCTGCTAATCATCTACTGATGATAAACTCAAGTGCTCTTTCTGTGTGTTGTAATATAACTGACCATATTTCTTCTTAAATTCTAATATTTTCACTTAGTTAAAATTAATAGTAGCTGGTCCAAAAGAAAGTAAAAATAGAACCTGTTAAAATGTTAGCAGTGAAATTCTATTCAGTGGAAACAAAAATGAAATCTATAGGGAAATAGTTGGAACTGAAAAAATTATTGAAATGAGATAACCCCAGGCCCAGAAAGATGAACACTGGATGTTCTCATGTGTGGATCCAAACTTCTAACTGTTAGGCATGTGCATACAAGTGTTATATAAATTGAAGACTTCTCTGGCTAGCTGAGACAGTGACTTAGTCTCAATTAATATGGATTAGTATATCCTGGCACCTCCATCATGTACAATGAGCCATGGTACCTGGAAGCATCCGCTGCACAGCATGCTGGTCCATTTCTGCCATAAGGTTAAGATTATTTCTAATAAACCTTGAAACACTAGGGAGATCTTAAGAGATCTTTATCCACTATAAAATTTTGTAGAGGCTTGATCATGGTCTGTGTTACACATTAATAATGTTTTATGAATCTCACTGAAAGCTCTTTCTGTGTCTTTGGGAAAGATTTAGCTTACAAAATTCCCTGGGTGATATAACTCATCAGACTATTGAAATATAAAGTCAGTTTTAAGGACAGATACATTCTTTATTCATGAGGATAATGTTAAAATAAGTTATTGTTAATAATATTAAGAAAAATGTGGAAGTATTCATTATTCAGCACTCATTAAAGATATTTCCAATTAGTAAAAGAATTTTATTTGCATACCATGTATTTTTATAAATGACACCACTCAAAATAGAATGAATTTCAC